CTAAACTCAAACGCTCAGATTCTCCGATTCACTCTCTCCGCTTTGCTTAATGATCTGGAACGTCGACTTTTGTGATTCGAACATTCCTCGGATTTCCATCTGTGGGAATTAGTAAAAACTGACTGTCCCAAACTCTGATTTGACTGTTTAAAACAGTTCTGCTGAAGTTTTCAGTAATTTTCCCGAGAAACAGGAATAACTGGCCCTTATTTAAGCACGATTTTCTCACCATGAGCTCATTTATGGTAGTTTTATGTGGCATTCAGCTCACAGATTTACTGACATGATAGTGGAACGATACTATTCTAAACAAAGATCAGACCTACTAACTCATCTGAACTAATCATTTTTATTTTAACTGTTCAGATTCTCCGATTCACTCTCTCTGCTTTGCTTAATGATCTGGAACTTCGTCTTTTGTGATTCGAACATTCCTCGGATTTCCCTGGAAGCATCTTTAGCCGCCAGATAAATTAAAGAAGGCTTTTTTTTGTTTTGTTTATCAGGACAGGAAGGGATGGAAACACGACGGGATACTGGGAACAAACGGGAACTAATTATTTTTATTTTAACCGCTCAGATTCTCCGATTCACTCTCTCTGCTTTTCCTAATTATCTGGAACTTCGTCTTTTGTTATTCGAACATTCCTCGGATTTCCCTGGAAGCATCTTTAGCCGCCATTAATAAAAAAAAAAATTCTGTTTACACCGATCAGGACAGGAAGGGAATACTGGAAACAAACGGGAAAAAAGGGGGGAGAATGAGCCACAAACCACCCCGAGTTTACAGCCTCTTCTTCTTCTGTGGTGGATCCCAGGCTGCTGGTTTGAGTCCGTCTGGAGCTCCTGGCTGAGGAGGCGAGTTGTGGGCGTGGCCACGGCGTTGTGGGCGGGGCTTAGGTGAGGGGGGCGGGGCCTATGACAGAACGGCGTGGGGCTCGGGGCTGGTGCAGCTGTTCTCCTGGCTGTTCTGGCTCCCCCGCGGCGGGACCTCGATGATGCGCGGCTTCTCGATGATTCGCGCGCGCCGGTCGCCCTTTTCCACGATGCCGATGATCCAGGCGCCGCCACC